AATCGGACAGAATTCAGGTATTTGTTTCTTATGGACTGTCCATAAATAGCTGGACAGTTGGCACCCTGGCCGTTAATCTACATATCTCTTGGTGACACTAGCAGTATTATTATTTTTATTATTACATTGAGTTTATATAGCGCCAAAGGGTTTGCTCAGCGCTGTACAATAGGGGGGACAATACATGGCACAGTACAACAAAGACAGACAGAAAGTGTACGAGGGGTAAGAGAGCCCTACTCTTTCAAGCTTACACTCTAGGAGGGAGGGGGTAGTGGAACAATAGGAAGTGGCTGAGGGGAATGAAGTGGTGGGAGGAATGAGGGAGAAAGGCCGTTAGGTGAGGGTGGGGTAGGCTTCCCTGAAAAGATGGGTTTTGAGGGAGCGCCTGAATGTGGGGAGGGAAGGCTCGGATGGATTGGGGCAGTGAGTTCCAGAGGATAGGGGAGGACCTGCAGAAGTCCTGCAGTCGTGCATGGGAGGAGGAGACCAGGGAGCATGATAGGAGGTCCTGTGAGGAGTGAAGGGTAGGGTGGTACTTGGTGATCAGGTTGGTGAGCTAGTCAGGGGCAGTGTTATGAACGGCTTTGTAGGTCAGGATTAGAAGTTTAAATTTAATGCGTTGGACAATCGGGAGCCAGAGGAGGGAGAGGCAGAGGGGGGTGGCAGAGGTGGAGCGGGTGGTGAGGTGGATGAGTCTGGCTGCTGAGTTCAGGATGGTCTGGAGCTGGGAGAGCCTGCACTTGGATAGGCCAGTGAGAAGAGAGTTGCAGTAGTCAAGGCGTGAGATGATGAGGGAGTGTACAAGAAGTTTGGTGGTGTCTGGGGTGAGGAAAGCAGTAATAAATCCTTGCAGAATTTACAGCTTTCCTAAATCTTTTCTTGGACTTTCTTTTCTCTTGACTTTTTTTTTATGTAACATGTCCAATACAGAGCTGGGTGGTAGTTTTAAGAGCTAAGGTCCTTTTTTAGGCAGTGTCCTCACGATCAGGGCACCCAGGAGATTAAAAAGCAAGGAAACAGAATCTGAATTAACTCTTTAAAAATGTAGTTGTTTAATGCTGCATGCAAAAGCCAACACCACAGAGTGGGTATACAACTTGTGTGTGACTTTTTTTTCATGCTTCATCAGATCAGAGAAAGTGGATTTTCAAGGTAAGAAACCTGTGCTGATATTAACTGATACCATATCTTGCCTGCCAATGCTTTGCATGCAACATTTGACAAACAGGGTCTTTTGAAATCCATCAATATAAATTGGTTGTAACCTATAGTTGGAAAAAGCTCCACATGAAACCTAGAATGGGCAGATTGTTTACAGATTTATCCAAACTGATTGGTCCCCATTCTCATTCATTTTTGAGCTGAAAGCCAAGTAAACATTTGCATGACCTCGCCATCATTTGTTAAGGTCACTGAGTGCACATCAACACCAAGCCCTAACAGCAGTTGGTCAGCTTTCATCATTGCTTAACTAGTAATCCTGGAGTCTAATTACCAGGATGAATACAGCTTTCTTTTTCCACTTCTCACATTTCATCAGGTCACATGTAGAAATAATTTACATTTAGAAAGCACCTTTCATCCAGAGACTGTTACAAAGCATTTTTGATTATGGTAGCTGAAGAATATAAAATCTGCTGAATTATGGACTGAGGTGTCGGAAGAGGATCCAGGAATATTAATGTACAGTACATTTCAAAGTAAAGGAACATTTTCTGTTTGTGCCGTGGTTCATTTACAGCCGGATTGTGTCAGGAGTTGCTGATATTGGGTAACACAGGGTTACATCGGGCTCCCCAGGTAATGTGTTGGGAGCCCATAAAAAGGATCCTGCTATTCTCGTTCATATGACTTTAAAAACATGTAATTATAAAGCAACACTTTGTGAAGTTTAATTTTGTTAATGTATCAAGCATCTGAAAAGCAGCAGCTCATAGGATAAAATGTAAGCAGACTTAACATTGCATTTAACACCTACTGAAAAAAATTAACCCTTAGTTCATTAACCATCAGTAAAGAAATCCTTGCATGAGTTCATTAGTGATAGATACAAGGAGTATCTTTTCTGCATCAGAATTTACCATTACATTTTATTGTATGTAAACCCAAAATACAGAAATGTAATATATTGCATTTTAGCAAGCCTGAAATGTGTCTACATTAATTTTATTCTGTCACTTTTTTTCCCCCATTATTCTCACTTGGTGAACTAGTAAAAAAACATGTCCTGACTTAGGGCGTCATCTTAAGACAGGACTGCAGGACATCTTTCCCTTTCTGGGCTGAACAAAAAAAAAAAAGTCCTCCATCCGCAAATGAGAATTTCGACATAAAAATTTGCAGCAAGGTCTACACGTGGGTTACTGCATACGCTTACTGGACACCCTAACCCTAGCTCCCACACTTTACTTCATGAGTAGCCCACAGGAGAATACTCACTTGTAGTCATAGCAAAGAACAAGTGAAAGGGAGATAACTAAACAGGGAATGCGCTGCATCATACCAAAACGTACAGTACAGCGCTACTGCGTATTGCGGTGTGCTGTTGCTAACAACTGTGCATGTCCTTTTTGTTGACCTACTAGTACAATAAGGCAGGCCAACTGCTTGACACTCGCATATCGCATGTGTGTTGCAAGAAAGGGGGTGGGCTTACTGCCCATTTTCTGCACGTATGCATCTATGGGCGGCAGAGGTTTCCATGCTGGAGGGTGTTCAGTGCCACATTTACTAAGCTAAGTGAAAGTGCAAAGTGAAAGTTCTCTATACAGAGGGGACAACCAATTTTCCTTTAGTAAATCTACCCCATTGCCGCCTCCTTTGTACAACTGGTACACATTCTCCAATGTTCCTTTCACTGCCAGTGCTCTTGCAATTTATTTTTGCACACATGTTAAAATTAACATTTTAGGCTTTGTACTACACATCGGTGCTATGGGGGAGACTTTCCAAAACTGGTACAGCTATGCATGGTAGCCAATCAGCTTCTAACTTCAGCTTGTTCAAATAAGCTTTGACAAACCTGGAAGCCGATTGGTTTCTATGCAGCGCTGCACCAGATGTCACACCATGCAGTTTTAGTAAATAACCCCCTATATATTCCCTCGTTTTTGGTAAAATATATATGACTAGGCTGTGGAAAGTAAATGGATACCCAGCATGTCAAGCCTTAAAAATACTCATGTCCATAAAATGGTGTTAAATAGGGATGCACCAATATATCGATGATTTAAAATAGTGCTATCTGCATGTTGCCGATAGGAAAAAAGGTGCAGAGAAGCCATTCTCAGCACCTTTTTTTATTATAAAGGCAAGGCAACTCGCATGCACAGTCGCGTCCCACAGACTTTGATGCAAAGTCGCATCCCACTAGACTATTGGGCAGAGTCGCATCCCAATAGATGTCAATACAAAAGCGCCCACTGACTTCAGTGCAAAAACGCCAGCCACATTACATTAAAAAAATTCAAAACTGTCCGTTTTTGGTTTTTGACCAATTGCATTCTGAATTTTCGGTTTTGGTACCAGAATTTTAATTTCGATGCACCACTAGTGACAAATTTTTGTTCGAAAAATTTTCCATAGGTGACCCTTTAAAAGCTCTTGCAGGTTATCAGTTAGAGCTAACCATGAATAATGGCCCTAGAATTATTGCATATAGTCCAGCATACACAGTGATCTGTAACATGTAGTAAAATCAATCAGAGGTAATTAGGGTGACTCTTCCAATGGTCTGAGGAAGTGATCGGGCATTTGTACAGCCAATAGATTACTTTATCTGAAAGCCAACAGTTGGCGTGTCAAATTTACATGCATTCTTGGCTGCTGTAGCAGCCACAATGTTTTGTAAACCCCTCTGCTGCTGCCAATTTATGACGTACATCAGTGGCAACAAAAGGGTTAAACCTCCATAAATGTAGCTTGACCAGCTGTTAACAGTAGCTCTAAACATTACAGTAGCTCTAAAGATAAATATTTCATACACTAGAGCAGAGGTTTCAAAACCGCGGGTCGGGGGGGCCAGATGCGTCCCTTTGCTTGCCTTTATCTGGCCCTAGGGGAATTATTTCATCCACTGATACCAGAAATCAGGCATAATCCCCCCCCTCTTACACCAATGAAGGGGGCACAATGTCTTCCAATGACATCAGTGATGGGGCACAATTTCTCCCCATAACACTAATGATGGGGCACAATTCCTCTGACTGACCCAATCAATAGGGCATTATTTTTTTTCTCACTGACCTCGGGACCTTTTCTACTCCCACTGGCCATAATCCGGCCCTCTAAAGGATAGTAAACTGACCCTTTGTTTAAAAAGTTTGGAGACCCCTGCACTAGAGTGCAAAGCTGAATACCTCATCTCAGAGAAATCAAATATAGGCAGGTACGCTTGGCTTCTTTTGAGTATTAACCATAGATTTAACTGAAACCGTGTTTCTTTTTCAAAGAACAATACACTCACTTCTAGAGATGGCTTAAGGAATACACCCATCTTTGCCTAATTTATAGGATTAACACTATACTGTGCTGACACCATAGGCAAACTATGTTTTTAACCATTATGTGTTTTTATTCCTAATTTTTTTGGTTCAGAAAGTTCTTTATCAACCTGTCGTTATAAACCAAAGCCAGTGGCAATAAGAAAATTGATTTGGCTGGGAGTAAGATTTGGATTTCATGATCCATTAATTCATGATTGATGGATTTGTATGTTTTTGCTTTTTCTTCTGCCATGGTTTGTAGTGTGGCCAATGCATGCAGTGCAGGGCTAATGATGCTCTATTGGCTCTTATACGTTGTACTATGCAAGTCATTATCGACACATCAAACCTTACTCCGTAAGTACAATCTGCTTGTTATCGGTTATCAGACTGACATTAAATCTAAACATATATACAAGTACTGTGTATTAAATGAAAATTAAATAAAATGCATAACTAATATCATCCAGTTTTAAATCTCGTTACATATGTGCATTTTTATGTTCTACACAGTGGGGTATCTTAAAAGTGGCAAATATATACATGGAAGAAGAGTCGTGGCTGGATATGAAATCAAGAGTGATGACTCTAAAGAGCCGCTGCTTAACATGGGCCCAGTATGCATCTATGAATGAGGAGTCTGTGTACAGGGAATGTGAAGAGAATCCCAACTGGTAAAAGCTTGTGGTACCATTTTAGATATGTACATAAATGTTCCCATATGCTGTACATGATAAAACTTTTTTAAAATCTACTGTGCGGCTGTGTACTAGCCATTTTAGAGTTAAAGAAACAAGTCTGTAAATAGTATCCTTTAGTTGGATTACTGGACAGTAAACTCGATTATGTGCAGGAAAATTACTTTAACTAGGAAAATGGCTAGCTCCTTTATCCCAGACTCCCATTGGTTTTGATGCTTTGAAACATTTTTTATGCTGGGCAAATAACACACTTAAATTGTTACTAAACCCATACCTTTTCTCATCAGCATTATATAGCAATCTTGTGACCTCTGTGTCCAGCTGAGCACTGGTTGAAGCTTGCAGGAGGAGTTTTCATTCTGCTCCGACTGTCTGGGGCTGTGTGACCCCCTGCCCCTCTGTCTGGTCAGTGCTGATTGGCTCTGTGTTGATCAAATTACCCTCCCAAAGAAAAAAAACTCTCCAGCAATACACACTAAACTGAGCATGTGCAGAGTGACTCTTACAGCTCTGTACTATCTGAAAATAGATTGGGGACAGGAGAAGGGGAGGATCAGAGAATACAGGATCCAACAGCCTTTTTACACAATGCAGAGAATGAACCCCTTAGATTCTACAGTGAGTATAACAAAACGCTTTACTGCATATACAGACTGATTTTACTGTTGTGAGTTTAGTGACACTTTAAAGCCTGGCCCCAGCCAAAAAATGGAAAATTACCCTGCCAGGTTGTGTTTTTTTTTTTTTCCCTTTTCTTTTTTTTGCTAGCTGAGAGATTAATTCTCACTTCCTGTGCCAGTGATAAAGTTTTAGGGTAATAGAAAATTATATGAAACGTCTCCAATGGGGACAGATGACATTTCAGAATGGAAGGTTAGAATGTATAAAATGTACTTTTCCCTAATGGAGACACAGACAGCTGTAATAAAAAAATAAAATAAACTAAATTGTGCAGCGCTAAACCTAAAAATACATGAAATGCCTGCCATACACAAAAAAATGCATAGGTGACATTAGTAAATAAAAGTCCAAATTTTTGTCCGTAACTTCCACAAGTGCATAAAAGTGACACATAGAGAAATGGTCCTCTTCATCGATTCAATGTAGTCAGAATATAAACCATTGCATGTGTTTAACAAACCACTCGGAGGCTTACCAGAAATACTGTGATCGTCGTAAGAATAGTCCACAACAGCGTTTGTATAATCAATACACCAGCCAATCACCACCAGATAGGTATCCTATTAATTCATCTCCCATATATGTGGATAGGCACAATACACCACATGTACAAAAGAAAGGAAGGATCCAACAGTGTAAATTCGATTACAGTTTTAATGTTAAAATGGTGAAAAACACTCTTGTGTAAGCCGCGTATACAGATGTCTCAGTACAAACTACACATCCCAGAATTTTTCCAAACAAGCACGCACAGGTGCATAAACGCGATGGCCTCCGGCTCCACCCAATGTGTTTTGTCATAGATGAGTGTCTATGCGCATGCTTGTTCGGAGCAATTCTGGGATGCGTAGTTTGTACTTAGACACCTGTATACACAGTGTTTATGTGAGTGTTTTTCATGCATTTTTTTGTATATGGTGTTTCATGTATTTTTAAGTTTAGTGCTGCACAATTTAGTTTAATAATTTGGTTGATATAGTGTATCCTATATATGGTGCTGGTGGCTGATTTATAGATAAGACACTTTTTTTAACGCAGCTTTTTTAATATACACCATAAAAAAAAAATGGTCAGGTGTTTTTAAGCCTTTCCCACTCTATCCAAGGCTTATTTTTTCTTATTTTTATGTAATTAATATATTTTAGGTTGTATGTATTTCATGTAAATGTTAATGTTTTAATTTCAGTTTCAATATTTTTCTATTGATTTTGAAAGAATTGGACAACTGTGGAGCCTACACAGGGGAAAAGGTTCATTGCACACAATAAAACATACAGAAACAACAGTGAAGACACTAATGGAAGGGAACAGCAGCTTAGTGTCTGGGTCCAATATGCCAAAGTTCTTGGTAGTTCAGCTTGGTTGGCTACATTGGCCTTTGGCTAATGGGTAGAGAACAGAGATTGGAAAGGAGAAATCACAAGAGAGGAGAGGGAAGATAAGGGAAAAAGATGCAGAGGGGGAGTGAACCACAGAATGAAAAAGAGAGACAAGTAAGAAAAAAGAGAAGGCACTGGATTCTCCCCATGGCCTAGTTCCTAGATAGAGATAATCTACATATAGCCAAAGCTAGAGGGAATCCGGGATGGAGGGGCACAAGTAGGTCAGAGCTACCAGATTTTTAGAAACTAAATATTTTTTCTTCCAGATCTACAGCTTTTGATTTAAATAATACACTGTAATCCTGGTCCTTGTTCAAGCAGAGCCTGTTGCAGGGTGGCAACTGTCTTCCAAATGTTAATTCTGGTTACTGTCCATAGCCCAACAATTAGGCATCATATTATTTTATCATTTCCTTTTTTGCATATAGTTCTTGTTGCAAAATATATTGTGTTCATGCTTAGACACATGTCAAGACAAATGCTTTTCAGAGAAAGAAAGTGCTGCTGAGGAACAGTGCTGGGAAACACTGATAGGAAATCAATAATAAGGGTTTTCCTTTTAACCTGTTGTAGTTTATATATAAAGAGTATTTATAAAGGTGCAAACTGCATTTATTGAAACTAATAGTAGTTTGCATTTCTGTGTCAGTGAAGTTACATTGAGTTATTATGCTCCCTTCTGTAAGCACCATGTAGCATTTGAACCTATTGTTTTGCCCATTGAGATATTTTGTGCATAGAAAACTTGACTTTTAAAAGCACTACCCGCATACAGTATATCAAAAAATAAAGCACAGCTGGCATTATACTGAGTGAAACCTTTAGTTTGTTAAAAGTGAAAAATATAAGTAACATGTTCCCTTTATAAACCACATATTTGATGAGGAGACCTGCAGAAATATCACAACAACGTGCAAGAAAACAGCACGTGTGGTATGCATGCTTCTCCAAGGTACATGCCACAGTAACTGAACAAATCAACAGGGCAGATGAAAAAAAAAAATGGAAGGAATATTTTGCTACATCTTCAGAATATGTACAGTTGTGTTCAAAATGATAGAAGGATTTTGAGCTTTATTCACTTTTTTCAACACACTGCTAATAGCTTTTATTTCCATATACACAAATGCATTGGGAACACTACACATTCTATTCCAAATCAAAACATGAAGAAAAATATATCAAATTTGTGTTGTTTCTCTAAAAAATTTAAGAAAAGTGAATATTAGACTGTTCAAAAAAAAATAGCAGTGTTTGTATTCTTCTTTACAAACTCAAACATTCACTATATAAACTGAAAAATGTTTGAAGATTTTGCTTTCGTTTTAACCAGTTGCCGACCGCAGATAGCCGAAACTGCGACCGGCCAGTTCTGAGTGGACATCATATGACGTCCCCCCAGAACGCGCTCTCCTGCGCGCCCCGGGGGGCGCGCACCCGGCGATCTCAGTGATCGCTGTGTCCTACGGACACAGCTGATCACGAGATGTGGTAAAAGGCCGATCATACTGGCCTTTTACCGCTTGATCAGAGGTGTCCAATGACATGCTGATCACAGGGAAATGCAAGTGCCGGTTCTCGGCTGCACTTTCCTCACGCTGTCAGATCGTGAGGAAAGTACTGCCGAGAACCGGCAGTTGTCAGAGCGAGGATCGGCACCGATCATCAGGGCCACTGATGATCAGTGCCCTGATGATCGGTGCCCAGCAGTGCCACCCACAAGTTCCGCCCACCTGTGCCCAGCAGTGCGCCCACTAGCTCCGCCCACCTGTGCCCAGCAGTGCGCCCACCTGTGCCCAGCAGTGCGCCCACCTGTGCCCAGCAGTGCACCCACCTGTGCCACTCTGAAGTGTCACACACCTGTGCCCAGAAGTGCCACCTACCTGTGCCCACCCACCAGTGCCACCCACCTGTGCCCACCAGTGCCACCCACCTGTGCCCACCCACCAGTGCAGCCCAGCAGTGCTGCCAGTCAGTGCCGCCAGTCAGTGCCCAGCAGTGATGCCAGTCAGTGCCATCTATCAGTACCCATCATCAGTGTCACCTATCAGTGCTGCATATTAGTGCTGCCTATCCGTGCCACCTCATTAGTGCTGCCTATCAGTGCCCTTTAGTGCTGCCTATCAGTGCCCATCAGTGCCGCCTATCAGTGCCCATCAGTGCTGCCTCATCAACGCACATCAGTGAAGGAGAAAAAATACCTGTTTGAAAAATTTTATAATAGAAACACAGAAACTTTTTTTTTTTTTTTTCAAATTTTTTGCATTTTTTAATTTATAGCGCAAAAAGTAAAGCGCCCAGTGGCGATTAAATACCACCAAAAGAAAGCTCTATTTGTGAGAAATAAATGATCAAAATTTCATATGGGTACAATGTTGCATGACCGCGCAATTGACAATCAAAGTGCGGCAGCGCTGAAAGCTGAAAATTGGCCTGGTAATGAAGGGGGTATAAGTGCCTGGTAGGCAAGTGGTTAATCACTTAATGAATATTTAGTTGTATAAGCACTGTTTCTGAGAACTGCTGTACATCTGTGTTGCATGGAGTCAATCAACGTCTGGCACCTGTGAATAGGTATTCCAGCCCAGGATGATTGGACTACATTCCACAGTTCTTCTCTATTTCTTGGTTTTGCCTCAGAAACTGCATTTTTGATGTCACCCCACAAGTTTTCTATTGGGTTAAGATCCGGGGATTGGGCTGGCCACTCCATAACGTCAATCTTGTTGGTCTGGAACCAAGATGTTGCACGTTTGCTGGTGTGTTTGGGGTCGTTGTCTTGTTGGAACACCCATTTCAAGGGCATTTCCTCTTCAGCATAAGGCAGCATGACCTCTTCAAGTATTCTGATGTATTCAAACTGATCCATGATCCCTGGTATGCGATAAATAGGCCCAACACCGTAGTATGAGAAACATCCCCATATCATGATGCTTGCGCAACCATGCTTCACTGTCTTCACAGTGTACTGTGGCTTGAATTCAGTGTTTGGGGGTCATCTGACAAACTGTCTCCGGCCACTAGACCCAAAAAGAACAATCTTACTTTCATCAGTCCACAAAATGTTGCGCCATTTCTCTTTAGGCCAGTCAATGTGCTCTTTGGCAAATTGTAACCTCTTCAGCACGTCTTTTTTTCAACAGTGGGGCTTTGCGGGGGCTTCTTGCAGATAGCTTGGCTTCACATAGGCGTCTTCTAATTGTAACAGTACTCACAGGTAACTTTAGACCTTCTTTGATCTTCCTGGAGCTGATTGTTGGCTGAGTCCTTGCCATTTTGGCTATTCTATCCATTCGAATGGTAGTTTTTCGCTTTCTTCCACGTCTTTCAAGCTTTGGTTGCCATTTTAAAGCATTTGCGATCATTTTAGCTGAGCAGCCTATCATTTTCTGCACTTCTGTATATGTTTTCCCTCTCCAATCAACTTTTTATTCAAGTACGCTGTTCTTCTGAACAATGTCTGGAACGACCCATTTTCCTCAGAATTTCAGAGAGAAATGCACTGTAACCAGCATGTACAACATTTGCTTCCTTCCTTCCTTAAATAAGGGCAATAATTGCCACCTGTTTTTCAAAGAATGAATGACCTCACTAATAGAACTCCACACTGCTATTATTTTGAACATGCCCCTTTCAATTAGTGATTCAATTCCACAGAATCAGCAGCATGCATGTCATGACTGTTGGGTCTGTTGGATTTCTATTACTCTACTACACCTGCTAGTAAATTATTTGCCATGTAGAAATATCATTTCTACCAAAAACAGTGTTTGATCAGGTTAGTTATGTCTGACTGCTATTATTTTGAACACAACTGTATGTATGGATTGCATGGGTTATTACCATTGTGGTGAAAATTTCATGTCAATAGCACCTTTAGAAATATATTTACTTAGAAAAATGGTGAAGCGTTCATTACTTTTTTACCCACAGTATCTCTGATTGCCCTTGTTGTGTTTTTACATTTCTTACTGCAATCCCTATAGTATTGGAATGATAATGACCCCTCTGCCTTATATTTTTTAAGGTTATTATTTTCCTCTTTTAATGTATCTTTTTATGTTTTTAAGTTTAGCCACCCAGGTCTCTTATATTTGTTGCCCTTTGGAATACACTGGATAATACCGTTTGTTATTTTCCTAAGTACTCCCATTTTTCCTGTGTTCAATGCTCTTAGATGTCAGTCCCATTTAATATCTTGTAGCATTGAGAACAGTTTACAAAAGGTGGCTCTTTTGAAATTAAGTGTTCTTGTGCTACCTTTTGTGCCTTCTTTTCCTATGATTTATGCTGAATGTAATTATCCTGTGATCGCTGGTTCTCAAGGTGTCCCATATTTCCACATCTGCAATAAAATCTGTGTTTATTTGTAATTAATAGTTCTAGCAATCCATTCTTTCTAGTCAGGGCATTCATGAATTGGAACATTGAGTTGTCCTGCAGGACATTTAAGAAATGATGAGGCTTAAATGAGTGAGTTGGTCTTTCCGCCCAGTTAATATCTGGATAGTTGAAGTCCCCCATTGTGATAAGAGATCCAATTCCTCCTCATCCTTCAGGGGGCCTGTAACATACCCCCACTATTAATTTCTCATTTGTTCTTTTCCTTTGACGTTCCACCCACAGGGACTCTCCTCCCTTGCCCCATTTGCAGTGCCGCCCCTCACGTTCACCAGCAAATCATTTTTTTATATACAGGTACACCCTTCCCCCTCTTCTACTCTCCCTGTTCCTCCGATACAAGGCCAGTCATGTGAGCTGTCAAACCAAGTTTCTGATATTTCCACAAAGTCAAAATCCTCCTTGTGTATCAGCAGCTCCAACTCTTCCATTTTGTTAGCTAGGCTCCTAGCATTTGTGTATAGGCCTCTTAGTTTTGTATGGGTGCATGTTATTTACTCCTTTAGTTGTTCTGTGGCTGTAATTATTTTCTTCCAACTCACTCACCCAGCTTTTAGGTTATCTGGTTATACTACCGGTAATGCCTCCAGTAGCACCCTCTTACTGTCGCTCACTGTTGGCTATCGCTTCCTGTAATCCCTTTCCTCACCGTCTAATTTAAAAGTCTCTCTAACATGTAGTGAGGTTCCCACATGTTGCAGCCCTCCCAGATAATGATGTCGCTTCCGGTCTTGTGCAGTCCATGTGCTCCAGGGCGGCACCAGGATTTCTAGGTTTGTTTCTGGTGCTACATAGCTCCTGACAAGAGCATCTGCTTCCGGGCTCCTAAAGACACACTGAGGCTCAACAGCAAACCGCACTGAGTGGATTACATTCCCTTATCCTTATGCATCACCTGAGTTGCCACTTTGGATTTTTTAACCACTAGTCGCCCAGCCACTGTATAAAAACGGTGGCAGGGCGGCACGGCTGGGCAAAAGCACGTTTTAAAACGTGCTGTTTCAAAACAGGTAGGGGGGGCGCGCGCGAGGAGTGCCGCCGCCCTACTTTCACCGCCGATCTTAGCCGCAGGTGTCAGTCACCGGGTCACAGCCGGTTATTGTCAGCTGTGGCCCGGTGATTAGCGGCAATCAGTGACAGAGTTTCTCTGTCCCGATCAGCGTGTCTCAGTGCAGTACACACCCCCGCCCCCTAGTAAAACACTCCCCTCACACAGTTAACCCTTTCAGTGCAAAAAAAGTGAATCCCTTCCTCCCCAGTGCCATTAGTACAGTGTCCCTGTTTTTTTTTTTTTTTTTGCAGTGATCACTGTGTTGGTATCACTGGGGATGTCAGTGACCCTAAGTCAGTTCCCCCCCAGTGTCAGACTGTCCGCCGCAGTCCTGCCATAAGTCACTGATCGCCACCATAAGTCGCTGATCGCCACCATTATTAGTATAAAAAAATTAAAAATCCGAGTATCTTTCCTGCCATTTGTAAACGCTATAACTTTCACGTAAACCAATTAATTTACACGTATTGGGTTTTGTTTTAGCAAAGACATGTCGCAGAATGCATTTGGCCGAAATTTATGACTAAATTTGATTTTTAAATTTTTTTTACTGGACATGTTTTATAGCAAAAAGTTCAAAATATTTTTTTTTTTTCTTATAGCGCAAAAAATAAACGCACAGGCGATCAAATACCACCGAAAGAAATCTCTATTTGTGTGAAAAAAGGACATAAATTTCATTTATGTACCGTATTGCACGACTGCGCAATTGTCCGTTAAACTAGCGCAGCGCTGTATAGCAAAAAAAATGGCGTAAATTGCAGTATCTATACCATAGTTTGTGGACGCTATAACGTTCACAAAAAGCAATCAATATACACTTATTGGGATTTTTTTTTTTACCAAAAACATGTAGCAGAATACATTTTGGCCTGAATTTATAACTAATTTTGAGTTTACTATATATTTTTTATAGCTGAAAGTAAAAAATATTGTTTTTCCTTCAACATTTTTGGGTTTTTTTGTTTTGTTGCATGAAAAATAAAAAGTGCACAGGTGATCAAATACCGAAAGAAAGCTCTATTTGTGTGAAAAAAGAACGTACATTTTGCTTGGGTGCAGCGTTGCATGACCGTGCAATTATCAGTTGAATTAGTGCAGCGCCGAGTAGCAAAAATAGGCAAGTGGTTAATAGTCTTTTCCTACATACTAAAATAAAAACAACCTGTGCCACAAGAACTGTGAAAAATTTGACAGTGAATGCTGCTGTGCCTTGATAAGAATCATAAAGATTGATAAAAATAAAAAAAATCAGTGAAACAATAAAATCGTGCAAAACATAAAATTAATCAAAAGTAATTATACAAAAATCATAATTCTGTGGTTATAAAATGTCCAAAACCACCAAAATGTAAAAAATATAAAATTTGTGTCCAAATATAAAAAGTGATAAAACCAAAAATAAAGTCCCCTTTAAACATGCAAATAGTGCTCCAAAAAAAATTTTTGGATAAGTGTAATACAGAGAAAAGACTCCACGGATCCACACCT